ACAACGTGCAGGGGACTTCCCAGATTCCCAAGAGCGCGAACCAGATTTCGATAATTCTGTCCACTAGTGGGAAGAGCAGCAACGTCGAAGAGACGACGTAAGCACGACGTTCAATAGACGCTCACAATATACGAAATCAGATGAGTTTCGTATTAGAATCGTCTGATTCGTTGGATTTAAACAGTTGGGTTTTCCAACTTGGACCAAACAGAGAATAGTCACTAGGCCTATTAACTGAACAATTGCTCGGGACGATCTTCAGGGTAGATTTCACAGAACCTGTGAATAAGGCCCTGTGAACGTAAAAAGCAATGTCATAAAGTATCAAATGAAATTATTATAAGAAAAGCATCAAATATAGTAGATGCGTTTGAAACAGTACATTGTGGTCGAGTCTCCCGTACGGCATGTTCATAATAATAAGAGGCTTAAGAGTACAGAAATAAGATACAATGTAATGGGAATGAATCACTTAGCATAAACACTTGCAGTTTCGTTTCAACGGTGGCTCGACAATGACTAAACACATTCCGGACGCAAAAAGACACCAATTAGAGAAAATGGACTTGAGACGTAACAGAAGAAACATTTTTACTTTACCACCTTACGAAAGCTTCGTAAGAAGAGAAAGTTACATAATCATAAGCCGGAAAACGGCGAATTCTTTCACCCAAAAATTCATATCTTTCAATGAATTAGCAAAGTTATGAAATAATAGTTATTACACTGAAAGAATGAAATAATGTACGCTCTTGATGGCAAGACCTTCAAAGTGTTAATATAATAAATCGTTCAGAAGACTTGTGTTATTTCGGAGAAGATGACCAACCGCAAAAAACATATCTGGTGATACTGAAAACGAATGAGATGATGTGAGGAACCAAAAACATCTATCTATTTGAAAAAATGTGTCTATGCCGAAATGTCAGCTTTTCTATTGAACACGAAAACAGCATGGAATCATAAATCAAGGACGTACATCAATTCTGCTCGCATGAATACAAGGATGAAATCTGAAGCTTTTAGATCGAAAACTGAAGACTTGTATTTCAACAACGATCTTTTGTCTGTCCACAACTTTGTGTCCGCTTCCCTTTTCTTTCTTTGTTTTTTTTGGCTTCTCAGAATGGAGAGATACCATGAGAGGAAGTTTTTACTCAACCAGGTAACTAGAATTCTCCACTAGTCAGCGCTTTTCAAACCGCGAGATGAAAACGAGATTAATGAGGGAGATGACAGGCGAAATGATGGTAATCTCCCATGAGATGGAGATGTGGTGGAACGCAAGACAGAAAACGGGATAACACTGCGAAAGTCTATAGCGAAGCCATTATGCTCACCGGTTATTTCAGAAGAGATGGCCAGGGTTTGAACCCTGGTAAAATCTACGCAAAATTTCTTGAGCCTACATTTCGTTATATTCCAGAGAATGAGGGTTATTTGGTTGCCAATACTATCAAATCAATTCTAAAGCACGTTTGTTGAAGCAAATAGTTTCTATAGTCTATTAAACGGGAGCACAAATTTATCATTTTCAACCGCGAACAAAGCTAGTTGCTAAAGTTTATATTGATGATATTCAAGCAATGATATCCTCATTCTGATTCAAGCACTGATATTCAAGCAATAGTTAATTTGACGGTGATCGCATTTATTAATCTTTAATTGATATTACAATTGACAAAATAAAATTTAAAAAATGATTTAAAAAATTAACAAAAAATGTATCTGCTTCAATAAATCAAAAATAATGTAATCTGCATACATCGACAAAACTCTTATATTATTTATTTTCCACTCTTTATCACTTTGGTCTGAAGAAAAGCCACTTTATTAATATCTCAACATTATTACAAGTTTTTATTATGACGGTATTTTCTGCATTCAAAAATAAAATATCAATCACGTACAAA